AACGTCAAAGTGAACAGAGCTCTGGTAGCATAGTGCCTAAGGAACTTGACTGCTAACCAGAAGGCTGGCAGTTCAAACCCAACAGCACTCCTCGGAAGGAAGGTTGGGCAATCCACTTCGGTAGGGATCTCGCGTCGGCAACCCAATGAGGGGTTGCTATGAGTTGGAGCCAACTCGATGACACATAACAACAACAAAATACACAAAATTTCATCTGTGAACCTGAAACTTGCTAGAAACAGGTACTTTCACATAGAATCCAATGCAACAGCATCAAAATGACGATGTATCCTACTGGTTCATATGCATATTAAAGTGTGATAAACACTTTCTTTGGACTGATTCCAATTTTGACTTCCTTGAATCATGAGGTGAACTTTAAATCCCATGGGGCCTATCCTCACAAATAGACATGGCCCATGAGTTGTGTGGATCCTGAGCATGGGGATGGGTCAACACTCTCCAGATCAAGCTCATGTGCAGCAGAGGGTGAGACCCATTGGAGATGGCGGCCAGGAGAATGCTTCACTAACTTCCTGTCCACACTGTCAAATGGGAGAAAACCAGACAAGGACCAAGAGAAAGGAGCTGTCTTTGCAGGGAGTATAATTTCCTAAGTAACAACTAATCAACTGCTCTTGGTCCAATATCAAGCAACTCCCTCTGGAGTATTTATTTATTTTTCTTAATTTCTCCAAGACCTCACACTTTAAGTGCAAGCTACATCCTAGTTGTGACTCAGGTCCATTGAAAGATGTGGAGATATCAACAAAAAGATTACACAATGTACAGATTGGGAGAAAACCATCAGGAACCATATATCTGATAAGGGTCTGATACCAAAATTAAATGAAACATAACAAAAGTAAATAACTTATTCCCCTCAAGAAAAAGACAACCTAATTTAAAAAATGAGCAAAAGATCTGAACGGATATTTCAGTAAAGATGATATTCAAATTGATAGCAATCACCTGAACAGATCCATTACTCCAATGCAAAAGAAGTTTCAGTGAGAGGTCTCCTCAGCCCATTAGAACAGCAGTAGCCAGAAAAGAGAAAACAGCAGGTATTGCAAGGATGTATAACCCCCTGGACCCTCAGCCATTGTCGGTGGGGATCATAATATGGCATTGCTGCTCCATGACCCCAGGACCAAGGCGACAGCATGGGCAGCAACACTGTTTGTGGCCTCCCATAGAGGCCTGAGGTGGCGGCTGAAGGAGACCAAAATTCCGGGTCCGCTCTGGAGGGCCTGTCTCCTCGTTGCCCATCCTCCCAAGTTAAGGACAAGAATCCAACCCTCCTGCTCCCTGTCCTCCTGCTGACCCATGCACCCGGTCTCCCTCCCCAGGCCAGCCAGCTGGGTGTCAGCCAGGCCGCAGGGTTCGTGACGGCCCAGCTGTCCCTGGCCTTACAGAGAAGAGAGGTTTCCAGCGTCCTGGTGACAGGTGCGAATGCATTGATACCAGAAGCGACAGTGACCAAGGGTTTCTCGGATGCTCGCGTCCCTCCCGGCCCCTAGGACCAAGAAGAAAGTCAGCGAAGCAAGCAGCACACTGACACGGCAGGATCTTGTGGCCGAGACTCTTGTCAGAGTGAGAACGGACAGGAGCCTTCGCAGGAGCTGGTTCTAGAACACACACCTCCCTTCATGCCAGAGGGCCGTGAGGAGCACCAGGCAGCGATTGCCCCATGACAATCGCCGCATGAGCCCCTGGCTCAGGCCGGACACCAGGACACTCATCTGTGGCCACAGCAGGCACCACACTTGAGCAGTCTAATCCTCTGTTTGACCAAGACTCTCGCAAACCCTCAGCCTTTTAGAGGAAATCTGCAGCACCGACTGTCAGCCAAAGGGCCCCGGCTCTCCAAATCCAGATGCAGTGGAACAGGGCCCGCCAGTCCATAGATTCCCAGTCCATGGTGAGCACTTTCAGGCTGTGCTTCAAGGCTTGCTGCAAGACTCACCAGGTCCTCCTTAAGGCAAGGTCAGGGGAGGGCTAGGTGAGTGTGGAGATATCCAAGAAACAGATCCAGGTATACTTGCCTTTGGTGCTAAATCAGCGTGATTTAATTGAGTAAGGAAGGAGGAAGACTTGGTGTTCAGAAGCAAGAAGAAGGCAGGAAGGAGTCTGGGGCCCTGGAAAGGGAGAGGCAGGGCAATGACTGCAACGCACACTGGGCAGTGCTGACAACAGTGCTGGAGGCCTTTGGGGACCTGGGCGACGGGAGGCTGTGTCTTTCCTTCAGAAGAAACACAGGCAGCAGGCAGTGGAGTCCTTCATTAATCGAATTGAGCAAAAGCATGGCCATGGCTCTGAGGATAGCCTGCCAGCCATCCCTTCCTCCCAGGCAGACTGCAATGGCCAGGACTAGGATCGGAGTCCAGGCAGGGGACAAGGGTCTACCTGAAACACATCTGAACTGATTTCCCTTTGGCCAGGACCCAAGACAACCCTGAAATAATTTTTTCCTGGAGAAATTGAAGGAATCAATTCTTGCCTGAGAAGGGGATTGCAGGAAACAGGAAACTTAACAACATCCTCCTTAAGAAAGATTGGGTGAGAGAAAAAATAAAAACATAACAATACAAAATAAGTTTTGCATCAGATTTGCCCAAAGCAATACATCGTTTTGTGTCTTGACTGCTGTTTCCATTGTTGCAGATTTTGGAATGCAATATGAAATTTTTGCCAACTTCAATCCTATCTCCATTTATCATGGTGCCACATATTGGTCCACTTGTGACAATTTTTCCCCTCATTTTAAATTGTAATCCACACTGCAGACTGTAGCTTCAATCTTCATCAGTAAACCTTTCAAGTCATCCTCACTTTCCAAGCAAAGTTGTGTCATCTGTGTATCACA